GAAGCACAGCCATCTCTTTTTTAGCACTACAATCTGGCTGGCTGCAAGAACTTTCCCTTTTAAACTCTGTTTTAGGGCAAGTCCAAACACTATGTGGTATGCAGTGTATAAAAGAGCAGCTCAAAGATCAGTTTGAATGCTTATCTAAAGCATGGCAATTAACACAGATATGGAAGAGAATGTACAGAGTAGGAGGGTGCTTTGCAGGAAATGGGTTTTTCTTTCCTTGTGGAGGAAATGCCAAAGTATGTAGAGATAAAAGACACAGACACAAAATTAAATAAAAGGTTGTGACTGTCCCCATTTCAGTTACAGTTTTGCTGTGATGATGTAAAGCTAGTCTGCATGGGATCAACACCTGAGAAAAAATATGTAGAGGGGAGATAAAACTGAGTATAAAGCAAAGGCAGGGAAAACACAAGGACTGAAAGCTATGCTGACTTGAAGACCTGATTTGGAGTACATTCAACAAAAAAGCTCCTTTTGGTTTCAAACATTTTGGTGAAGAACTAGCTGCACTGAGAATCAATGACTTACCAACAGTTTCTTACTCAGCCAAAGGGTCTCCAGCTGCAAAGAAATGCTGGGGCCAGAAAATGCATTAGCAAATGTTTTGGTTTTTTTTAACTAGGAGAGGTTTGAATGCAACTTTTAAAAAAATCCCCCGAGGTACTCACCTTTCCAGTTCTGTTACGTGAAGTTTATTTTGTGCCACAGTACTGTGTAGATACAGACTTAATCAAGCTGGTCAGCTTCCCCATCCCAGCTGCTCTCACGCTTGCTCACAAAGCTGCCACAGCAGCTCACTGGCTTGCCAAGCTCATTCTGGCAGCTGCAGGGGGAAAAAAAAAACAAACCATAGGGGAAGCTTTGTTTTTCCTTCCGGAACTCAGATGTTCATTCAGCCTGAAGTCTTGTAGTGTATTACTAAGCTAGTCCATTGCTCTTGGGCATAGCAGTCCATTATATTGTGATTTGCAACGTGGGGACTGTACCTTTTTTGGCATTTCCCAGTGGAGACAGCTGCTGTGGAGCTGGGGGGAAGAGATCACCAGCACCTGCACAAAAAGCTTGTGGCTGATTAAGAGATACAAATCTACCTTAAACTGATAAATAACACAGGAACCCTGTCAGTCTAACGTTTGTAGGCGTTTCCATGTTTTTCTACAAAGATGGGCAGAAATGAAGATATTAAACCCAAAATATTAACATTTTAAACTTGCATTATCTAAAATATTACTTCAATCTTAGTTGGAGCTAGGCCTGTGCAGCGTATGTATTTTTATATATTTCACATATGTAAATGTTATCTGCGTTACAAAAGTTTACGTACGCTTCATATATACCCACGGAGCACCGCACGGGCGGGCAGGCGGGTGGCGGCGGTCACCACCCGACTCAGGA